GAAGGAAGGAAGGAAGGAAGGAAGGAAGGAAGGAAAGAAGGAAGGAACAGTTCTTTTGCAGGCCATTTATTTAAGATGACCCTCCTGCACCCCTGCTTCCCTGCCCAGTCAACGTACTACCCCTTTTTAAGCAAAGATAAAGGAATGAAGTGAGGTTGGAAGTCTTACTTTAGACTGAGCCTGAGACTTGAGGCCCACCATACATTCACCCGGAACTTACCTTCCCAGTCTCTGTTCTGCCACTCCACCAACCACCTTAAACTCTAGGTGGAAAACTCTACAGACCACTTCTCCAAAGTTAGCTTGAGGTTTCTTCCCATCATATTGTTGCTTGCATCATTTCCCATCCTTGGAAATATCCCCTTCCTTCCACCGCCAGGTGAAAAGTCCCATTCCTCCTATCACCTTTCCTAATGCTCCCTTACCTTTGGGAAGTCGTGTGAACTCAGCTGCATGGCACAGCCAGCACTGGCAGACTATCACCCTGGCACTGAGAGCAAACACAAAGGACACAAGGCTAACTTAACTTTATCTCCCCTTGTGGAATTTAAGATCTGTCTGGGTAAGGCCTGAAAGGGGTTAAGGGACTACAAGATTTCAGTAATCTTCATTAAAAATATTGATCTGCTTCTAAATTAAATAAACAATTTTAATGCAAACAGTCAGTAAGGCATCTTTCCCATTGCCCCCAGGATCTCATCTCTTTCTGCTGCTGTAGGCATAGATGGCTTCACTCCATTCTGTCTTCTCTGGACCATGACAGAATTCTGCACATAGGTATAAAAAGAAGAAACCAAAATCAGTCATGTATTAAATGCTAACCATTTGCCAGCTATTGGCTACTACTTCCTCAAAAAGGAAATTCTAAAAACCAAGTGTAAAGAGGAACCAAAAAACTAATTCTAGGAGGACTTCAGACAATATTTTTCAAACTAACAATTAAATAGAAGTGATCATTCCCCTAGGACTATGTTGATGGTAATTGGGATGGGAATATATACTGTTTAAGTACAAGAACACAAGAGTCCAGTCCATCAAGAGGATCGACTAAATAACTGCCACATGAAAGCAACAGTTAATTTAGAAGAGGGAAGGAAGTGGCTGGATGCAGTGCTCAGAAACAGAAATCATATACCAAGGTCTCAAGAAAAATGGGACCATTTTAACAACGGTGGGTGGCAGTGGGAAAGGAGAAGGCAGAAATGGAAGCCTAAAATGTGTTATGACAGAGCAAGCTCTCCATTCTGTTCATATCCAGGTGAACTAAAATTATAACAAGGTCATTGTTTTAGGGCTGCTCTTAAATATCCATAGGAAGACCCACCTATATGAGCCCTGCATTCTTCCAGCCCGGAGGAGGCAGCCAGTAAGAGCCCTCAAGGATCCTTCAAGGCACACAAAGAAGAGTCAAAAAGTGTCCCCAGTCATTACTAAGAAGAGATTGTGGGTACTCACTAATTTTGGGCTTCAGTTTCAAGCCAAAGAGTGGAGTTTTAACACAAAGCTAATCAAGCTAGGCTTACCCAGAATTTCCGGCAGTTTTTGTACTTCAAGAAGTAAGTGGAACACCGTTCCCTGTCGTAGTTATTTTCATCCATACACCTGGTAGAAGCATCAGATTCCTTAAATATGTAAGAAAGGCATCATTTAAGGGGTGGAATGGGATCCTAAACTTCTGAAGCCGCTTCCCCCCAAAGCAGGTAATATGAACTCATTCCTTTCTGTTCATTTTAATGAGCATATAATGAACAGAAGCTGAATTATCTTTCCAACCATCCCAGCACTCATTCTGCTCAGAGCAGACATCTTCCTTTTCATAGTCTGGGTCAGTTTTCTGAATATCTGGTCACGGGAACTTGAGCCCGAGCATGGACTGAGATAATTTATCCTGGTAACCGTTTAACAAAGAAGCTGAGGCAAGGTGCAAGGTGCTGAAAATCACTCCTGCACAGCGAGAATTAAAACAGTCTCCTGATGCAGGGTGCAGCTGTCCTGCCTTTCCAAGTTCTCACTTGGACCTGACTGTTTGATGTTAAGCTGGTTTCAAGATCCTAAGTAAGTCACTAATAACTGGTCTACATCAAGACAACTTAAATTAACACCACTCATCTCAATGTATTTTTGGCTATCATTCCCTCCACTACGCAAGTACATATACTATTATGCATGCAGTTTTAATAGATATCATTAATGTCACTTCAAAACCTAAGTGAGCAACACAGGGCTGTAAGTTCAAAGAAAGGTAGGAGCCATTTGGGAATTAAAATTAAGCTGTCTAAACTGGAAGTAGATTGGATAACAAACTTCAAAGTGAAAAGTAGGATTCTGAGAAGTCATCTAAAGGAAAGCGTTAACTAAAGGGGTAGGTAATTTGCTTCACAGATCTAAGAAACATGGTCTATCTAAAGAGACTTAATAAAGCTTCAACACAGAGCTAATATATGAAACAAAGCTAAATTTCTATGCCAAATATTTAACGAATGTGTGTATTTGAAAAATGCATATAGGTTCAGGGAATGGCACCAGTCTGATGACTGCATTATTCCAGGGTGACAAGGCCACAAGTCAGTATGGCTAGTCATTCCAAATAAATGCCAATAAGACATTATTATTACAACAAAACATTTTGTGTACATGGTACCTTTGTGGAAAGCTTTAGGCTTTAAATAGGCAAATTCTATTATAGCCCCTTATTCACAGCAGGCTGTCTCAAGGACAGGATGAAATTATTGCTATTAAGACACAAATTTCAGTGGCAGTTGAAAAATATGCTTTGCAACTTGACACTTTTGGACTACAGATTTTCCTTGGTGTTACATACCCCTGTCTGGTGTTACAGTGGTTAGTAAATGCTTGCACATTATACAAATGGAAACTTCAAAGGGATGGATCTTTGTTAGCTAAATTATGAATACTTAAAAATGTTTAGTGAAATAAAGATACACTGGCCAGGAATATTTTTTGTAGAGAAATAACTTTATTCAAGAACTATAGAAAACAGATGCCCACAAAAACAGAACAAGCCTGTTTTACCAAGTTAACAGTCATGAAAATTAAAAGCAAACCACCTTACCAACAAGCAAGGGTTTATGTCAGGATCTCTCAGCCTTCCTGCTACCATGGGCATCCTAACAGTTTTCTTACTGCAGGCAGATGTTGGAAAAAAGAGTTACACAGTGAATGACAGAAAATAAATCAATACATCTCATTAGACCCATGAGTACTTGAAAAATTAATTTTGTCGGGGCGCCTGGGTGGCTCAGCCGGTTAAGTGTCTGCCTTCGGCTCAGGTCATGGTCCCAGGGTCCTGGGATCGAGCCCCACGTCGGGCTTCCTGCTCCACGGGGAGCCTGCTTCTCCCTCTCCCACTCCCCCAGCTTGTGTTCCCTCTCTCGCTGTGTCTCTCCCTGTCAAATAAATAAAAAACAAAATCTTAAAAAAAAAAAGAAAAATTAATTTTGTCATAGTGATTATCCCAGTAAGGAACTTCATATGTCCTCTGTTTTACGAGAATAAATATTTGGTTGGGTTTTTCCTTTGCATTGCCATGGTGCCTGAGCATGAGGGCCATATTTAAATTCAACCACTGAAATTTGATTATAATGTCCAGGAAGATAGTTCAGTTATAGTTCGGTTTTAGTTTATCTTTATTTCTAAAGGTTAAGCTATTAAATATAGTAAAAAAAAAAAAAAAACCTAAGAATATAGCATGGATTCTTTTTTAAAAAATATATTTATGTATTTATTTGAGAGTGAGCACGTGCAAGTGGGGGAGGGGGAGTGCAGAGGGAGACAAGCAGACTCCCTGCTGAGTGGGGAGCCTGCTATGAGGCTCGATCCCAGGACCCTGAGATCATGACCTGAGCAGAAATCAAAAGTCAGACGCTTAACTGATTGAGCCAGCCAGGCGCCCCAAATACAGCATGCATTCTAATGATTACTTCGTTATTATACATTTGATCATCATACAAAATAAGTGTGGAATAATAAGTATAACCCAACATTAGCAAAAACATTTGTTTACTGAACCTGTGTACTCTGTAGCCAGCACCAGGGTGGTCAATATACTAAAAAACAAAGTTATTGCTTAATTGACATTTTGAAAAGCTAAAAATGAAAAAATGAAACTTTACTTCCAGTGGCATCTTTATTTAACTGATACTTCCCTTGGTTAAAGGAAGTCACAGATGCTACTGTGGTCCATTAATCTTCCAACTCAAGCCCTACACATGGAGCTCTGCAGAAGTCTTTACCGATTAAAGATGATCACAGTTCCCTAAGAGTCATCTAGTGATTCCAAGTCAAGTATTGTGATTCACACATTACTCATATATGTCAACTATATTCCAGGACAACCGCTCTCTATAATAATGCAGTTCAACTGAAATTGGCATGCCTATTATCTTCGAAGACATGTCACAGAAAGGAACTAAAAGAGAAAATTAAGAAAAACAATCAACGAACTGTTAATTATTTCAAAGTGATTTTTTCATTTCAGTATATCGGTATGCTATTGATGAGCCACCCACAAACATTTTTAAATGCTCTGCACTAAGTTTAAGGGTCTGAGCTAACTTGTACTCTCGAATCCTGTTCTAGCTTAACCATCTTCCACCTAAAGATGGAAGGAGAAATAAGCAATAATGCAGTATGACCTGCACCAACACCACCCAATAAAAGACTGCATCAGTCAGGATAACTAGAGAAAGGTCAGAATTTTTGTATGAAGTGGATTCTACTTTTCTTTCCCTAGGTGACACCGTCAAAAACTATCAGTCATGTTAAGAGAAATAAGGTACATTCAGGAAAATCAATCAAACCCCATAAGCTCCTAAAAAGTGGTGGTATTTGCAATCAAGAGTCATCCAGTTCAGAGCCCAGGATGTCCAGGCTAAAAGAGATCAATCTTTGCAAAGAAGAATGGGAGAAAAGTTTAGTCAATTCAGGATCCTCTAACTTTTAGGAATCCTCTAATCTGATTTCCACTGAACACTACATGAATATACCTAGCTAACAGAAGCATCTAGGTAAAAAAGAAATTCAAGCTGCTATTCAATTATATCTAGAAGTTCTTCCTCTCCTGAACAGAATTCTTTTGCAGGCTTGACTTCTTACTAAGAGATGATGGTACTAAGTGAACTCACACCCTTCTTTTTTACATTCATTCTATGACGTAAGAACACATAACTCTGCTTAGCTGTTCATACTCCTTATATATATAATCTCAACAATGATCAGACATAGACAAACTCTGGTGCGTGCCTTACATGAAAGTGCACTTTCACTGCATTTTATTATTGTCAGTTAAGAATCCTTTAAAAAAAATAACATCTAGGTAACATCACATATACGCAAATCAGGTTCGGACCATGAATTTATTCAGATTTCATTTCCTTTCCCTTCCGGATTCTACATACAAGTCAATGTAAGTTTGGATTTCTAAATGTCACCTTCTTTGCATGAATCCTCACGTATCAACTGGAAATGAAGAGGAAATGTCAATTTACAGTGAGGAGAGGGTCTAAAGGGAAGATCGAGTGTTCTGCTAGAGAGGACTTATCTGCTTACTTTCTGAGGCACTAAACAAATATTACAGAGCTCTACTTGCAAAGGACAGCCAGAAAGAAAACCAAAGATTTGAGGGAGGGGCCTCAAAAGCACGGCACAGTTGAGGAGTAACTCTAAAATCTTCTCCAAAAGGCAAACTGCTTTAAAAAGTATGTCTTGATTTCCTTCCCATCCAGTTCACATCCCCACTCTCCAACTAGCTTTGAAAGGGAAGAAGAGAACATTACTGAACAGGTCCATGCCCACATGCTGGTCAGAGCCAAGGCAGGGTCTGTGGCTCTGATAAAACTCAAATGCAACTAGCAGGAAGTTGAAACACGTTATGCGAGGACCTAAAGCCCTTAACCCACTGCTGGGTGCAGAAAGGCAGGGTCAGGAAGTTGGCATGGTACAGCGGGGCGGGCAGTCGAATGGAGAAACTGGAGATGTGAGTCCTCGGCCTTGCTGCCTTTCCGCGATGCTGTCCGTCTAACAGTGGACGACGGGCACAGGTGAACACACCTTGCTCTGACCTCCGATGGAGCCGAGTGGGGCAGGGGGGAGAAGAAAACGCAGGAAATTGGGGGTGGGCCTGGCAATTACGCCCCAAAGGCTGAGAAGCAGGGTGAAGGAAGAGCTAGAGGTGTCCAGGGAGGGCGAAGGTCACCTTCCTCGTCTCCAGCCCGAATAAAACCGGGTCGCGCAAAGGAGGAGCGACAGGAAAGGGCCTGCGCTGAGGCAGGGCCTGGTGGCAGCGGCTTCACGACGGAGGAGAGAGGATTCCGGCCCGCAGAAGCCCACGTGCACCCCTCTCTTTTCGCATCCCCGGAGCCACCGCGGAAGGAGGGGCGGGGGACCACTCACCTCGGGCGACCGCTTCGCCAGCGCCCAGGCCGTCTCCAGCTCCAAACACGTCAATGGCTCACGCAGCTGGACCTTAAGTAGCGCGCATCCCAACGTGCTGCCCCCGCTCCCCGGCGGCCGCCAGCCCAATCAACGCGCGCCGCCGCCAGACTGACAGCCGTGCCGGGCCCTGCCGGGCGGGGGCGGGCGGGTCTCGCCCCGCCCCCAGCTGGCGGGAGGAGGGCCGAGGCGGGAGGAGTGGGCGGGGCCGAGCGTGCGGCCCCGCCCCTTTCCCCCGCCCCGCCGCGCCCCCCGAGCCGCGGCCCGCCTCTTAACACTTTGGTTTGACGGGCGGCGCCGCGACCCAATCGACGGGCCCGTTCCTGGCGGCGGCGGCGCCTAGTGGTCGGCCCCGGGGCGGAGCGCGCGCGGAGGGCGGGCACAGCGGCGGGCGGGGACCAGGGGCGGGCCGGCGGGAGGCGGGGGCGGCGGCCGAGCAGGCCGGGGGAGGCGGCGGTGGGCGCGACGTCGGCGGCGGCGGCGGCGGCGGCAGCGGCAGCTGCAAGTTGGGCTGCAGGGGCAGCGCATACACTACAATGGCTGCTGGAAAGAGGCGTAAGGAAACAATTTCCAGGCCCGCCGCGTCCAGCCCGAAATATGAGAAAAAAATTATTAGAAATTCCGCGGGCGGTGTAAAGGCGGCGGACGGGCCGGAGGGAGGATGTTAAAGCCCCGCGGTGAGTTCTCCCGGGGTCCGGGGCGGCGGAGAGGCGTTTAGCGGGAGAAATATCAGGGTTATTTAAATTATGGGACTAGCCGAGGGGGCAGAGGAGCAGCAGCGGCGGCAGGAGGAGGAAAAGTTTGTGCTACTCTCAGCCCCAGCTCAGGACCCCAGAGAGAAAAATAATAATAAAAAATAAAATAAAATAATTAAGCGGGGGTGTGAGGACTCCCGAAGTCGCTTCTGACAGGGCAGGGGGCGATGCGGCTGGAGACCCAAAGGTGAGGTCGGTGGGAAAAAAAAAAAACCCTTTATTCAGGGTCTGGAAAGTTTGAAAAGTTTTCCTCCTCCTCCTCCTCCTCCTCTCTGGTGCTGTGAATATTGTGACAGCGGCAGCGGCAGCAGCGAGAGCGGAAGACATTAGAGACCCGAAAAATAAGGGAAAAATTAATATAAATTCAGTTTTGAGAGTAAACTCTCCGCATTTTCCACCAAAACATCCCGGGGGAAGGTCGCTTCCCAAAGGGCCTGGCGGAAACCCGCAGTCGGCAATATTTGGGGGGCACTTTGAGTGACTTGGGGTAACTTTGCCCCTTTTTCAAAAGAGGTTTTTCTTTTTTGGAGAAATGAATTTGTTTTTGCCCTTTCCTCAGGTGGGCGAGTCGGGGTCGGGGTGCGGGGTCTGCGGGGAGGTGTGAGCCCTGGATGTGTGGCTGCGAGGGGGGGTAGGGGGAGGGGGTGCTAAATGAAAGCAGGAGATCTGCACAGAGCAGGGACAGCTTGTTGTCAGTATCATAAACAACCAAAATGGAGGGAGAACTCAGGCATATAACCAAATAAAAATTTTTTAAAAATCGCAAAAAATCCCTAAAAATCCGGGATGCTCCCCCTTTTCTCGCTAAAGGTAAAAGTATGAACCGCCTTTCCCCTGAAGTCCGTTTTGACTTTGCAGGGACCAAGGAGTTAATATTTATTTATTTTTTAAAACTTTCGAAGGGCAAAAGCCTTTTATAACTCAACCGACAATGAGAAAACGTGAAAATCCGATGCAAGAGAAGGAGGGGGAGGGAGGGGGGAGGTGGTAGTGCAGAAACTGCTAAACTTATTGGTAATGTGGACTGATCTGAGATAAGATAAACACTATATTTGCTATTTTATAACTCTCTTTTAATGATCTTTGCGGGGTGGGTTTTTTTGGGGGGTGGAAAAAAAAGTGATGCCATTTTCTTAATAGAGTTAATATGTGTGATTGGAAGAATAAACCTTTCCGGCTTTAGATTGCATTTTCGTCGCATTTATGTTTCAGGTTTTGTTAGTGGCTCCCTCCTTTCTTTAAACTGGGCTCTACAGAGGAGGGGTAGAGAGGTGATGTTGCACAGAGAGACTGGAGTGCAGAACTGGAGCACCTTTTGGGGAGGGGTGGGAGTTGCTTGGTTTCTCCCTTCCTGACCCGTTTGCTTCACCTGTTCGTCCTCAGTAAAGAATATTAAGCTGAAGTTTTCTGGTTTTACGTATATAAAAGGATGGTGCCTCTTGCATCACATTGAAGTTAATGGGAAAGTGCTGCTGATGTTGGTTCCACGTGGGATGTGGGACAGAGCAGGGCATTTTAAAGGGACAGCTTCTCTTTTCTTATGATTTTCATCACCTGCACAGAATCACTGTCTGAGGACCAAAGGCAGAGGTGCTGGGAGGGTGTGGTGGTGGAAGAGCCTTCTCTTTCCATTACTCAAGTGCACCCACCTTTAGGAGGGATAGAGGGAAAGGAGGGATAAACAGGCTCAACAGAAGATGAATATTGTGTAGATTAGTTTGTATCCAAGCTGTTCTTTTGTGTAACAAGCCTCCCAGGAACTTTTCATGTTACATTTCTCTGCTTTAGAAGCTGATTTTGGAAGGATTTGTGGAAAAATGGAAATAGTTTAAGGTGTGTGGTGTAATGGTATAGCATTATTGAACAGTTATGAATTCTGTGCAGCAAGATCAAAGAACTGTGTATGCCCATAATGTGATTTTACAGCCATTTTGTAAAAGCTGTAAAATACCTAATATTCAATTTGGCTGAAGGTACATTGAGGACTTCTGGTCGAAAGCAGACAGAGTGGTGGAGATTCTTTTACACTGTAAGCAGTAGGCATTTCTTTAAGGGGAAAAAAAAGCACATACATCAACACCATGGAAAAGTTTACGTATACCCATTTTTAAAGCCCATCCTATACATGTGCTGTAACTCTGCTACTTTGAAATTAAAAGGTTTTAAAATCCTGAGACCTATCAGTTTGCATCTTTTAAGTTGAATTTATTTGTGTTATTTAACAGGAAATGTTTACTGATCATATACTACTGTTGACTCTGATGGTTGACATTTTCACAATATTTTCAAAATTTAAAATATGTCAGATGTTAGCTGAATTCTATTTGAGATTAAGGTTCATCTCAAATAGAATTTACTTGTGCTCCGTTTTCCACAGGTATATGGAGTTTTGCAATAAATGCCTATTTTTCTTTGTTTTTTATTAGTTATAGAAATAGATTAAAATTAGAGCTGGATTTTTACACATCTTATACAGAATATTTTTACTTTCCATACTGTACAAACAGATTATTGTTTTGAAGCCCATTGTATGTTAACATGTGTTCACAACTGAGCTCCTATCTGCACCTTTCTGTAAATACCTCCCTAACAGCATTACATCGGTGTAGTGTTTGAGTACATCATCTTGTGGTTTCTGATTTTGGAAGCAATTACACCTTTCTAAGAACTCATTAAAAATTATTCCCATGAACCACTGTTAAATCAAAACTGATTGGAAAGTGATTAAACTATCAATGGGAAAGAGAAACTTCCCCTTCCCCCAAATAATCATCTGTCCAGGGGTGTCAGAATGCCATTAATATTTATACAACCTTTGAAATTTCTCTTACATTTTTATTGTATTTTGGCTGAAGAAAGTTACATTACCTATAAGTAGTCAGAATTAGGCTCTGTGTTTAAAATAAATGAGACTTTTAGATCTTGAATAGTTGCCACTTTGACAGACTACATACTAATATCAAATAAATTCAGTTTCTGTAAAAGTGAAGGAAAAATATTTCTTCCAGTTACAGTAGACCATTGAGTTATTCAGTTTGTTTGGACACTTCAAGTTATGATTAGTTTATTGTCAACCTAAATAAAAGTGCTGGTGTTGTGATTTTTTTCCTCTCTCACAAAGGGTGGTATAAAGGTTTCTATGTGTTTGGGTTTTATACAACTAGCTGCTTATCTGAATTAGAAAATGCACTGAGAGTGCACAAAGTATAAAATCTTTAATTCCTTAGAGAGTCTTATTTAGATAGGGCACAGCATAATATCTAACTTGAATTGGTTGTATTGAGCTTTTTAAATGTCTCAGATATAATGTCTGTTGAACATACTTTTTCTGAAGCTACTACTAAATTATACCAATTTACAGAAATAATCCAAGGATATTGTATACTCAAAATCTTTATTTCAGTTAGAGTTAGAGAAACCTCCTACTTTGAGATTCTTACTTGAAATTTATATGCCTAATTCTGCTATTTGAAATTCTATAAGGAGTTTAGCTGTTGTGGAAGATAATTTATAGATAAATAATCCAAGGATATTGTATACTCAAAATCTTTATTTCAGTTAGAGTTAAGAAACCTCCTACTTTGAGATTCTTACTTGAAATTTATATGCCCAATTCTGCTGTTCGAAGTTCTATAAGGAGTTTAGCTGTTGTGGAAGATAATTTATAGATATGGGCTAGTACTGAAAAAATTCCATATCTGTATGTTTATTATAACCAAAATATTTTAATAAACAGACATCTTACAGCTAAATAAATTAGTGAATTTGCTTTTATCAATATAGTTTAAAATTTTTAAGGGTACTCTTTGTATTTTAATATCCTACAAAGGTGGGGTTTTTTTCCCTTCATTTTTAACATAATCCTGATTGTTGTTATACACATTTTGGTTGGTATTCTGGAAATTTTCCTTTCTAAGAATTAAATTGTTGTTTGCTAAATGAAATGTCATGCTCCTGTCTTTGGTATTTGAAAAGCCAAATAACTGAAACATGTATCTATAGCCATCTTTTAAGTTTTGTTTTAATAATCATTTGCCCCTTGAGCTGTGTAATCAAAATATTGGTTCCTTCTAGGAATGTTTTAATATTTTTTATTTAGAATTCTGTTCTTTGGAAAATTAAGATATACAAAATATTACCTGTTACACACACATTTATACACACACACACACACAAACCCAAGAAAAAAAGAAGTTTTGCTGAATGAGTTTACTTACACTGCCTGGAATACTCGTTCTTTTTGATGTGTTTCCAAATGTGTAGGGAATAAATATAAATTTTTTCTCTTTGTGTTGATAACATCTTAGATTCTTTAGTTATTTGAGTAAGGGAAGAGTTTCAGAAGAAGGAAAAAACAACTGAAGGTGTTCAACAAAATCCAAGATAGTGAATATGTTAAAGGTAAAAGGGCTATAAATTGTCCCTTGAGCCATGTTTTAAATGTTTTAAGAACCAGATAAACACCTTTCCTGAAACATCAAATACTTTGAATATATATCAGCTACTGTGAAAAAACAAAAGTGGACCTTTAATTTCTTTAATTTTAACAGGAATTAATGTAGTCAGCATATTTAACTAATTAGTAAGTGTTTAGGTAGCCTTGTGAAAGTATTTACAAATAAGTTAAATGTGAGGGCAGGGTACATCAGATTGATAAACTGTAAAGTTAACTATGATTTTAGGATTCATGCGTGGGAATTCTTTTCCATTTTATGATAAGATCACTTTGGAGGTAGCTAATTTTTACTTCTTGCATTTATTCCAGTGCCTAATTTTTTTTGAAATGTCTGAACCTGACATCCACTCTATTACTGCTTTTCATTTATAACAGGACAACTTTTATATTTCATTAGCAAATTTAATTTTCAAGCTTAATTAAGAGAAATTAAATGAAAATGTTTAGGTCATAATATTTTATAAAA